TAACCTTAGGTGAACTTTCTTACTAATAATTTTTAAAAAATTTCATATATCTATATTTTTTAAAAAATATTAATAAAGTCCGGTCTTTTTCAAAAATTATCAAAAAATTTCAATAATGTTTAATAAACATTGATTATAATACTTAAATAATGATCGATAAATAGAATATCTATCCAAGAAATATTACTGTATAGGTGTCACCTATTCTCGCTGTCTAATAATTCATTAGACGCAGATATAAGTCTAAGTTTATTTGGCTAATTAGGTAACTTATAACTAAATACGTCTGTAAGCGAACTTGTCAAGCCTTTTTTTCACCTAAAGTTATACTTCTAAGTGAAAATTTTTATTATATCTCCTCTTTTAAAGCTATCGCTTCTGCAAGAGAAAGCCTAGCTTTTTTTTTGAATATAATGAAAAAAAGGAATACAATTTTTATTGATATAGTAGAATATTATTTAAGAGCTTTAGAATAGCGAATCAATAAGTAATCATTCTAGTTAACAAAGAAACATCTAGACTACGTATTTTGATAACTATTATTCTTAAGCCTCTAGGTAAAAAACAAAGAAGTCTACATGCCTTCCCTATTTCTGAGATTGCAGAGTCTTTAGCTAGGCAAAAAAGTAAAAAAGTGATTTTAATAAACTGGAGGTGCGAGAAACAAAAAAAGAAAATAAAATAATATAGCAAGAAGGCATTGTGAGGGCTATACAACTTTAGTAAGAAACGCCCTTGTTCTCCCTTAAAATCCTTTCTTTATTCTTATAAGCATTTATAAAATATTAGTATATATCAGTAATTTTTTTTCAATAAGTATTAATAGGCATTAAATTCGTCAAAAAAATAATCTACTTTCTTATAAGTTTGAAGTCCTGGCTGAATTTTTTTTTGTTTAAAGTAAAAAAAAATATTAATACAATATCTCAGATCTGTACCTTAAAAGATTTGGATAATGGTAATAAACTTGGAGGTACTTTGGCTAATTATTATCCTCCTAGTCGAACAGATCTTGAAAAGCAACTTTTTTGCATAAAAAAAGATTGTAAAGTAGCTATTTATTGGAAAAGCCAGTTTGCGAATAACTATAATATCTTAGATAGAGAAAAAAAGCACATATAGGATAATTTTGATAAATCTAAATAAGAAAATGAAAAACTTTTCAATTGGATGCATCAACTTAGAAAAGAGATAAGACAATTACATTCAGAGAAAAATGAGCTTATGCTTCAGATTATTCGTAAGAATATTTCTCTTGCAGATACTAAAAGTAAATTCTCTATAAAATTGGAGGAGATGCAAGCCCTCTAATTCAAGATGAAAGAAGAGATACAAGCTCTCCAATCAAGAGTAAAAGAATTAGAGCAGAATGTTTTTTTAGCATAGGATAAGATATCAGAAATAGATTCTCTTAAGTACAAATTGGAACTGAAAAATGTAAAACTAACTACTGAAAATATTGGTCTAAGTTTGGCAAAAGAGAATTTAGAAAATCTATTAACTAAAAAAAGGATGAATTGGCGCAGATAAAAGATGATTTAGTCACAGTATAAAAGGCATTAATAGAAAAAGATTCCCTCTTTCAAAAAGCTAATGATCGTTTAGTCAAGTAGATTCTAAAAATATTCAGTGAGTCTAAAGTGCTTAGAGGTATTAAAGGACTGGAAAAAGGTAACGAAATCACTAGCTTTGAAATAACCTCAGAATTATCTTATTCCTTATTTTTTTAGCATGCAATCATCTTCATAATAATATTACTAATTATATATATCTTATGATGCATATTCTCTCGTCTATATTCATTTTATAATAAAGAAAAAAATATTCTGAATTATAAATTACTCTTAAATAGAAATTAAGGTTATGCATTTCCAATCCAATGTACAGAAGAACCAAAAGACAGGACTACCTTCTATGAAACTTTACCTTATAGATATGGATAAGGTCATAAAGTATGAATCATCTTGAATTCAGTCCTATCCTGTCAGCCCATCATGACCTTTCTCTATGCTAGTTACTGGAAAAAGTGGATCAGGTAAGACTAATATTTTAGCAAATCTTTTTCTTGGTAATAAAACTGAATATATATATAAAGATAAAAAAGGCAGGTCTAGATATATTATATGTGATAATTTGATAGTTTATGATTACTATTCTGATGAGTCTAAGTAGATATTTATAAAAGATTCAAAAGCACTTTACTATGAAAATATATAATTTAGCTATATATTATCAGAAAAAATCTCTAATATTAGAGTATTTTTACCAGAACAAAGTACAGCTATTATTTTTGAGGATCTATGCCTTGCTTCAAATCATATACAGAATCAAATTAGCCAATTTTTTGAAAATGAGCATCATAGAAACATTTCAAACATATATGTAACATAACATTACTATTATATACTAATAATTATCTGGAAAAATATTTCACATCTAATAGTATTTAATAATAGCAGTTTTCATCAAGACATTTCTAAGGTCATTAGACGATATACTGAAGATGTAAAAAATATCTCTATGATTGTTAATAGTTACCTTTGAAAAGGTGAATTTATTGTCTTTGATCTAAATAAATCAGATGATAATCCACTGGCAATTTAATTGAGATTTGATACTCCATTAGATCTTCAAAAAGAGATAAAGTTATGAGAGAAGTGAAAAAAGGATTATAAAAATTCATTACTCCTGAAATTAAAGTTTTGATTTTTTGATAATCACCTATTTGCAATGAAAAAGTTAACAATAAATGATGCTTGTACAATTGCTAAAAAACGTGGTAAGCTTTGTCTTTCTACTGAATATATTAATGCTAACATTTAAATGCGATGATGATATGCAAACAGTTATAAGTAGACTATATTTCTTAACAATATCAAGAATGGTAAGACATGGTGTCCGTATTATACAAATAAGGCCAGTCATATAATTGAAGATACTAAGCAAGTTACTTTTAGTAAAAATGAAGAATGCCTTTCTAAAACGTATGATAATAGTTTTTTACCTTTATCATGACATTGTTCTGAAGGGCATAAGTGGAATACATCTTTTAATAATGTGAAAAATAATAAGACGTGGTATCCATATTATGCAAATAATAGGCCTTGTACACTTGAAGATGCCAAACAATTGGCTTATAATAAAAAGGAAGCTTGTCTTTCTGAATATTATATTAATAATCATTCAGCTTTATTATGGATGTATGATAAAAAGCATAGATAGTTTGCTACTTTTGATAACGTTAAACATTTAAATTCATGATGCCCATTCTGCCTGAAATATAAAGGAGAAAAGCTATGTTATGAGATTTTAACAAAATATCTTGGCCCTTCTTCATAAATCCGCAAACCTAATTTTCTCAAAATACCAGAATATCTCACAGGATTAGAATTTAATATTTATTACCTAGAATAAGTATAAGGCGTACAAGACGAAAAATATATCAAATTCTTCCATAATGGCGATCCCAATAATTTTATCAAATAGCAAGCACAGGATCAGCTCAAGAAAGAATTATGTGAAGAAAACTATATTGTCCTAAGGTATATTTAATATTATGAAGACCCATATATAATTATTCCTAAACATCTTTGAGAATTGGGTCTCTTGAATAAAATTAACATAAAAACACATGCATACGCCATTATTAATAAAATTAAAAGTGAAAAATCTTATTTGTTATTATTTTGATGCAAAGCAACTTTTAATAAATATTAAACTATTATAAATAAACTACATATTATGCAATGTAAATTAATTGATCTTTATAGCAAGCAGTGTAAGAACAATTCAAATTACCTAAATAAATATACAAAATATATACGTTGTTTATTTTTTTTTTTTACTATCCCTCATTAGCTAGTGTTTCAGTAATATTCTACCTTCAAGAACATCTTCGCTTCTTTCTTTTTGATGATGCTATATTTGCAGTTTCACCAGTATGGTGAGGTTTCTGTTAATTTCTGCATTTTCCTTTTAATAAATCTTGAATGCATAGGTGAAGTTTTATCACATAATGCTGATAATAAAGACAGGTTTAAAAAAGGTTCTATTTACACTAAAAGGATAACAATGCTTGGATATTACCTTAAAAGCAAACATTATCTTGATAATATTTGACAGTTCAGAAAATTGAGTAATGTTATCTAGAATTGTAAATTCATCAAATTTATTGACAAAATATAGTCCGTCAATATAATGCATTACATAAAAATTAAAATCTTTTTCTACACAAGTGGATGTTTAGGAAAAATATTAAGTGCTAATGAAAAAGCAAAACATTTACAAAACTGATACTTGCTGTATACTAAAATACTAAAAGTTTCAATATTTTTGATTTTTTCTTTATCGACTTCTCGTTTTTTTAGTATTTGTTGTAATTTGAAAAATCCAAGTTGCATTGCTATTAAAATTAAAGGAATTCTATAGGTTTAATTAGCAGATAGCTGGGAATAAAGGACAAACTTTTAGACTATTCACATTTTAGGATTTTTTCTCAGCCTTTCATCATTTTCTTATCATCATAATAGCAGGCATTTCCAACGATCTCCCCAAATCCTACAGGATGATCAGAACTATTTATTTTAATCATTAATAAAGCATTATGTGATCAACCGATTGCATGTTTTTGTTCTAGTGGTCAGTTTGAATTTTTTTGGACTTTTCGATCCGTATTTTCAATTTCACCTCTGGTTAGTAATAAAATTATATTAGTATCTTATAAACATTCTTTTAGGAGATAGAAGATAAAGATAATAAGGTGTAACTTACGTTCTCATATTAATAACATTGTTAACATCTAAGAAAATATCCTCTATAAGACGATTCACGATTCTGTCATGATATACATATTCTGATAGGCTTCTATCATAAAGTAGATTAACAAAAAGTTGGAAGTACAATAAACTACTTAAAATATTAGGCTAAGTTATTTAGATATTATAAATAAGTTTGCAGTAACAAATTTAATTTACTTACAATATTTTATACATCAATTGTATTCACTTACATGGCCAATCTCTGCTAAAGCTATATGTAGTTAGATCAATTAGAGAATTTTGATTAAGAATGACAGCAATTTGAGGCAAATTAACATGATAGCTAACTGTTACCTCAATAATTGCGTCATCATACACTTTTAGAAGCCCTTTCATATCTTCATTTATTCTACTATCCAAAGATACTGACAACTCTTTTTCAGTCTAAAAAAATGAGTTTTGCTGATAATAATACAATTAATTAAACAATTAAGACTACAACCTCGCACTAATCCACTTTTAATTTTATCTATTCTTCTCTACTAAGTATTGACTTGATCAGGTTAAGATCATTCTCTTCTGGTAGAAATATTATTTTATAGCAAGAAATTCTGAATTGAATATTCAAGATTTTATTAATTAATGTAGTTTCTTCTTCATTATTGATATTCTCTTTGTTGCTCAATTATATAAAAGATTTCATTAATGATAGTGTTCATTAAGTAGTATAGAATATAACAGTAAGTTTCTTTATATTATAATAAGAAAGGTACATAACTGACTCCTCCTCCAGAATCAGTAGACTTTATTTAAAGAAACTTCTTTAATTACCTTTGTAGACATAAATTAATCACCAAATGGGCGGTTAATCCTGCAGAATTATTATAGCATAGCCTAAGCAATCTTACAAAAGCAATTGTTTTTGTAGATATAAACTAACAATCAAATGGGCAGTTAATCTTGCGGAATCACTTTGGTATAGCCAAGTTGATCTCACAAAGCAACAAAAGGATTCTGATTACAACTGAAAAATATGCCTATCTCTTTACATTGCGAGTTTATCTTATTTTATAACGAGTATCCTATTTGTTTGCGAAATTACTCATGATACCTCTTTACTTAAAAATAGTTATTATGTGCAACTCTTTAACAACTTAAAACTTTCCTGAAAAATAAACTATTAAATGCAAAAATTCAGTTTCAAAAAACCACGAAAATAATTTTATTGTTAATATCTCATGTCATAGAAAGACTTTCTTCTAATTAGTTTAAAATATTAATCAGCATTTCTATAATAAGTACGATTAACAAAAAGGTTGACCAATAATAAAATAATAAATATGATCACATGATTTCGATCATATACAAATTTAACATATTTTATATGTTTCGTGAAAGCAATAAAAGCAAATTAAAGTATAATAAATCATTAATTATTTAATGGTTTTATTCTTTTCATATTATACAAAAGTATTTAAAAGTTTTTTTTAACTTTTTTAAATTACAAGTTTTAAAACTTTTCTTTGAATTATTAGAAGTTTTAAAACAAGTTTTATAATAATATAAAGACCTTTAAGCTTCGTTATTATAGTATGTTATCTCTAAGCAAATTCTTTTAAAACTGAAATTATTTTGGATTCTTTTTGCAAGTAGTTATTTAACGTTCCAAAGAATCAAACGGTAAGCAAAAATTTTTTTTTTTTTTACTAAATGTAATACCATTTTCTGAAAAAGTATTTTAAACTATATAAATAATACCTAAATTAAATTGATCTGCAATAGCCAATTATAGGAAAATCTGCCTATAATATCTCATGTGTTACATGTTATAAATCACGTGAGTAGTTAAAATCATATAACAATTACTCTTGCTGGACGATTTAAATTAAGGTAAATAAAGATTATCAACTATTATTTGTGAAAACACCTCACACATAGTAATCTGTAATTCTGGTAACTCACTGAAGATATTTCCAAGATTATTAGACAATATACTGATGATGTATAAAATGTCTCAATAATCATTAATAACTACCTTTAAAAAGGTGAGTTTGTTGTATTTGATTTCACTAGACTAGAAGATGATCCTCTTGCAATTCGCCTAAGGTTTGACACTTCACTAAACCTATAGAAGGAAATAAAAGCAAGGCAAAAGCACAAAGAAAAAAAATGTCTCAACTAATAAATAGAATCTGACTTAATAGATGCTAGCTTTTTTTGTAATTATAAAAAATTGAAATAGGAGAACTGGTTATTTATATTGATTCTCAGAAAGTGCAAGATATAAATCAGAATCTTACTTTACAGAAACTTTATTACAGACCTGAGGGATATTATCAGACTGTTAAAAAAATGCAAACCGCTTGTAAGAGAACCAGATATAGGTTTACTTTAGCCATAATAAAAAATTAGCTTAACAAACAGGCCTTATATCAGATTCACAAGCTTCAGCCAAAATTTATTCAGTATGCCTTCTTTAATAATATTCAATTTTTAAATGAAATGCACTAATCTGATATTACCCCTATATCTCATAATAAAATAGGTAATCAGATTTACAAGTATAAGAGCGTTATCAAAAATGTTGTAACTAGGTATTAATATAGTTTTGCATTAACTGATAAATCTTCTGCACAAATGGCTAAAAAAATTCAGAAAATTTACAATAATCCTAATGATCCTCTTAACCTGCCTAAAGATTTTATTGTAGATAGAGGTACTAAATATATGGACAAATGTAAAGATTTATTACTCAGTTATAATATAAAAATTTAATATGCTAACTTTAAACATAGTGTAACTATTGCTGAACGTAATTATCAAGAATTTGAAAATATGATATTTTCAGCAAGATGCTAAAGATTTTCATTTGCCTTTGACTGATAGATCCAGAGTTTGGGTTAAGAGACTTTGTATAAATGATGATATTTATAATAATACTTCTACTCAGTTAATAGTTATGTCTCCTAATGAGGCTGTAAAAAAGGTATTAAAAGGTAAAAAAAATAATAGCTAGACCTTCTGTTAAATATAGGAAACCAGTTAGTTAAAATGAATCTGTTTTACCTAATTATACGGAAGTTTATCACCTTTTAAAACTTAGCAAATTAGAAGGTAGAAGAAAAAGGATAACTGATTGCAATTAGTCTTTTAAAATCTTTATAATTGATTCTTATTTGATAAAAGAAATCAGTCTATTCTCTATAATTTACAAGAGTCTTAAAAGTTCATTTGTAAGAGAAAAACTACAAATCATTCTGTTAGATACAGTATTACCACTTAAATATATTTTCAAGCATTAGATTTACCTTCTCTTTCCTTTACTTGATATAGGATTTTTTTGAAAGCATTACTTAAGTAATTATCTATTTTATCTCTATTATAAACTATAATTTGCTTATTTCTAAGCCAATCACTTTATGAATTTTTTTTTTCCTGTTTTTTTTTCCCAGATTTATTATCTATAAAAATATTTAGTAAGAAAACATAAAGCAAACTTAAATTATTCATGCTTATTGAATTCCTTTTTAAGTATTTCTCTAAATTGTTTTCTTCAGCTTTTTAACATTTTTCGTGTATCAATTTTATTATCTGGATGGAATTTATGAACTTTTACATGATGTATGGCTATAGCTCTTCTTTTAATTGCTTTTCTTAATTCTTTTTATTCCTTAAATTCTAAATCCTTCTCTGATTTTTCTTGCCCTTTAATTTCTTCTAAACACTCAAATTCTTTATTAATCAAATTCTTAGATTTATTTTTTTTCTTAAAAGCTTATGTTTTAGGTCCTGAACCAGTCTCTGATTATCATTTAATTCCTCTTTTATCAGTGGTTTAACTGCTTTTAGAACATACTGCTCAAGATTATGAAAAAGTGTTTTACAACTATCTAGATCATTTACTTCATATAGTTCAACACCTAAATCAAGTTCTTTCCAATGTCTTTGCAATCTTGCTTCTTATAACCTAAAATGCTCTCTAGGCTTTCGTGCATTTAAATTAACTCAAGCTTTAATTTTCTCTTCAGTAATATAGTTTCTTTCGTAAATTAGTTCTGGCTTGGAAGCAGGATCTTGAGCAGTCATTTGTAGTTCAAGTTTAAGAGTTTGAACAAACTCTTGAATAGGATGTTGCTTAAATTCTTGAATAGGTACTAGAATTGGCACTTTAGTAGAAGCTACATCCTTTTACTCTTGTAGTGATTTACATGAATTTTTTCACTTAAAATGTTCATGAAATTTTTGAAGTGTTAAGCATTCATGATCACAATGTTTACAGATTGTATCTTTTTTATCACTTCTTGTTTTTCTAACTATGATATTAGCTTTAACTGTTACACTATTACTTGCTTATATAATTTTTTCTTTAATTATTTATTTTTTATGTATCTATCACTTTTCGATTATAGAAATCCTACCAAAGATAAGTATTTATAAGCTTTTTGAAGAGGTTCTAACTATTATAAAACTGAAGCATTAACTAATTATTAATTAATCTTTTTGAATCTAATAATAAAAATGTAAGTTGATGTGAATATTCTTGCCTATTTCTCTGCAATACTGAAAAGGCTTATGGGAATGCTAGTATTAAGCCTGAAGGATGTCAATTCCATTGGAAGACTAAAAAATGTATACTTTGTTCTGATTGTGAAAAGCTTATAGCCTCTACTTGTAGATGATGTCTATTACATGTTAAAGGTTATTATGTTATCTGATACTATGATAAACTTTGACGAAAAAGAATTTATATTAGCCAATTCTATGATAAATTTCAATCAGATATACAAAAAAGAAGTTATAAGAAAATAATGGTTACCATAGAAATACGCTTACAAATCTTAATATTTCTCTTTGCAAGAAATGTTTCATTCTGATAAAATTAGAAGAGGGAGATTATTACATTAGTTGTTAATCAGAATAAATAAAAAGATTATTTCAGCTAACTTAAATTTTAGGCGTAATATCCAATAGGCATTTATTAAATTTTCATTAAACTTATTTTTTATATTTTTTTCGTTAAAACTTTTATTATTATACTATTTAATGAGCTAGCTTGTACAAATCTATTCTTGACTAAGAAAAAGTTAGGACAATTCTGCGGATTTTTTTTAAATATTTTACAGGGTGATATTTCATTAGACTTTTATATAAAATATGCTATTTAGTAAGCTAGACTACATTGAACCCGTTCTTGATTAAGAAAAAGTTAGGATAAAAATCTCGTTAGACTTATTTATCAATTATATTATTTAATGAGCTAGCTTGTATAAAAGTCATTTTTATATATATAAAGTTCGTTAGATTTAAAAAATCACATGATTTTCATTAGACTTATTTTATAGATTTTTGTTAGACTTAAGAAAACTGTTAGACCTATTTATAAGGTAATAAAAACTGTTAGACTTATTTTTGTTAGACTTATTTAAAAAATATATTAATTAATACGTTAACTCATATGGAATCAATTCCTGATATATTTATTTTTGTTAGATTTATTTTTCATTAGATTTATTTACAATATAGAAATTACAATTCTAGAAAACTTTGAAGCTTTTCTAATATTTAATAAAAAATTGATATAGAAATTAACCTTCTAAGCCTGCTAGAAGCTTTTCTAATATAATATAAAAATTAAAATTTTAGAGCTTTTAAAACTTATTCTTATATAATAAAAAAATCAATATAACTTCTGAGGTTTGAGAATCCCTTAACACATAATAGCAGTGAGAGACAGACCTTCAGTCTTTAAACTCTCACTTTGCAATTATATACTTTATACTAAACTAAATCTTCTAATATAATAAGTTTATTATATTTAAATTAATTGTATTGCAAGTAATTTA